CTGGTCTCACAGCAGCTTGGCTGGCAGCAGCTGGAGCCGCAGGTCCCACTGGTAGAGAAGCTGGGATATCCACAGAGGCTGGTCTGGCAGCAGGTCATGGTGTTGGGAGTTGGGTTGAGAGCTGCGTTGCTTGGAGGAGTTTCTGAGTTTTGGTGGTGACTTCCACATTGGCCCTTTTATACATCTGAGCCAGCTGCTGTTTACAAAATTGTTAACATATTTTCTTTGTTTTTGTTTAAATTTGTTTCTCAGTGGATCTCCAATTGGCTTACGTTGAAGTACTTATGACACATTATGAGCAATAGTTTAGAAATTACTCTGTTTTATAGTTTCTTCCGGACTCCTCATATCAGTCCTTTGCTCTTTGGAATATGTTTGTGGTTTCCCATGTTCCAAGAGTCCTTCCATTTTAGTCCAAATGAATGCTCTCATTTTATGTAATAGTTATTCCATGTGACAATCTATTCAGACCTCTAAGGCTAAGAGTAATAACTGTGTTGTTATATTTAACTATTATTTTTTCCTCCTGGATAGATAGACTAAATTCTATTAAGTTTTGGATATCTGGGTATCTACTGAACTGAAGGAGTACCTTTGGTCATGCATAATTCGCAGATTTCACCTTGTTTTGTTCCAGTGTCGTATTGAATTACCGATTATAGTTCCTTTGATTTCAACCAATTTGAAATGTGTGAATATTATTCCTGTTCCAGACCAGAAATCTGTTCTTGGGAACCAAACTGACATAGTATTTAGGAAGGTATCCAGCAGAGTCCTTAGTTTGTGGTAGAACCTTAATAAATGTTTATTGAATCTGATTCAATAAATGTTTATTGAATAGGTGGAGTAAAAGGCATGATTCATGGATATCAATACCACTCCCACATAATTAGAGAGAAATTTCAAGCTGTAGTACCTCTCATGAAAGAGTCTTGTTATTTACTGTAAAGAGACTAGGAAATGTGTTTTTTGGTTTATTTTATTTTATTTTATTTTATTTTTTGGTTTAGTAGTGGAACCGGGCTTAGGAAAAAATATCTAGGAGTTGTGACACTTTGAAGAATGTACTGCCATCTACTTTATTCCTCTTGGAAATTGCATAATCTTGTGTGTAATCCATCATTGCTACCAAGTAAATGATAGAGGTAAGTTCTGGGAGCTTGTAAATAATGTGGAAAATATGTTCCTTTCTATATTTGCATCCTATTGTATTTTGTATATTACACTCTAATACCTAATGAAGAGTTTAAAAATTAAATGGTAAAATATGTTTTGTTTTGTTCTAGGTTGTGTTAACTTCTTTTTTTTTTTTTTTAGACAGAGTCTCGCTCTGTCACCCAGGCTGGAGTGCAGTGGCATGATCTCGGCTCACTGCAAGCTCCGCCTCCCGAGTTCATGCCCTTCTCCTGCCTCAGCCTCCTGAGTAGCTGGGACTACAGGTGTCCACTACTATGCCCGGCTAATTTGTTTTTTTTTTTTTTTTTTTTTTTGTATTTTTTAGTAAAGACAGGGTTTCACCGTGTTAGCCAGGATGGTCTCAATCTCCTGACCTCGTGATCTGCCCACCTCGGCTTCCCAAAAAGTGCTGGGATTACAGACATGAGCCACTGTGCCCGGCGTGTTAACTTCTTAAGAGAACATCTTTTAAGTTGGGTTGCAAAGTGCAAAATATAATAGAGCTGTTTCAGATTTCTAATGCGTCTGTCTGACAAATGGCAATGGTAGAACTTAGCAGGTGCTCTCTATGGCTGTTTCTTCTATTATAATTTAGACCAGAGATACACTTTATGCATACCTACCTACATCAAATGAAGGTGAATACTGGGAGTTGAAGCTTAGAGAGCAATTCAGGGATCAGTGGGAAGAATGTGAAAGGCTAAGGCGTAGAAATTAAACCTAAATACTCTTGGAAAATAGGTAGTATCTGGTAGATATTTTAAAATCTATTTAGAAAGTAATACAATGTCTTTAGATTTGGGGGCATAAATGAAGGAGAATAGTATATAAAATGGAAGGAGACAAAAGATGGTAGAATTACATTTAGAATGAAATCAATAGCTTTGATCAACCTTAAAATTTTAGCTGAAGGTCAACCTTTATTGGTCTAGACCTAATCGTAATAGATTAGAGCATGCAAATATTGGAATAACTATAAAATTATTTAATTCATGGAGCATTTCTAAGTTGATGGATTCAAGCATAATTTACTTTGTATTTAATCTTTCTGGTTTAGACTTTGTGGTTATACCTTGGTATTATTATGATATTGCAAATCCACTCTTGAATACCAGCCACAGGAAGACATGCTTAAAGGTAGAAGGTGGACATAACTCAGTTTGCTTTGCACATTAAAACATTTTATTTGAATTAATCAGAGATATTCAAGGAAAAACCAGGTCTGAAGATGCATGGGCATCAAGAGAGTTGGGGGAGCAGAGATGTCACTGAAATGATGAACTATTCCATACTGGTTCTCTGCTCAAGCAACGTAAGCTATCCAGAACACTGATTGATACATGTTTCAGTGAGTGAATTCGGCACATCCGCAGTGTCCTCACTAGGAGTTTCATTATCTCTGAGCAGCTTAACAACATCATGGTACTTAGCATCCAAGTAAAATTGAACAGTTCTTCAGAAATCAGCATAATTTTGCTGTGCTTTCCCTTTCATTCGTAAGCGATCAGCAACCTGGTTTTTAGCAGGTGGGCTCACAGCATTGGCAGCAGCAGACTGGGCGGCAGCAGGATTGCCCACAGTAGGATGGGCGGCAGCAGGAGGCCTCAGCGTGGTGCAGCTGGCAGCAGGATGGGGGTGTGCAGCTTACCAGGCAGCAGGGGGGCAGGCAGGTGCCCTCCACGCGGCAATCTGGGCGGCACCACCTGATACGGGTGCTCACGGCTCCACCCCTGCCCTCCTGGCCATAGCTGATGCTACCACCAGTGCCGCAGCCAGTTCCACAGGAGCTGGTCTGGCAGCAGCTTGGCTGGCAGCAGCTGGTCTCACAGCAGCTTGGCTGGCAGCAACTGGAGCCACAGGTCCCACTGGTGGAACAGCTGGCCATGGTGTCAGGAGCTGGGTTGAGAGCTGTGTTGTTAAGAGAGGTTTCTGAGTTTGGGCTGTACCTTCTATATCTGTCCTTTTATATGTTCCCTAGAGCTGCATATTTACCTAACATCTTTTCTTGATGTCAATTTCAGTATGAGTCTCTGGCTAATACCCGAGGTGTTTAGAAAGTTATAAATAGCATTTCAGTAGCCTGCTTTTTCCATTGTTAATTGAGTCTCATTATGTTTCTTCTTTGCCCTCTGGACTAAGTGAAGGCTCATCATGGAAGCCAAGCACAAAAGTGCCTCTTGATGCAAGTCACATGACAGACTAGCCTTAAGCCAAGTGTTGCCCTGGCATGCTTTGTCATACTTGTCCTTTGATAACCTTTAGGCATAATTTATCTTAACTGACCATTTTTCCTTAAATGATCACTTAACCATGATCATGGTTTTATAAACAATTGTCTAGACTTGGAAAGACTAACATTAGTGTCATCAAAACATGAACTGTAACCTGATGTATCAACTTTCAAACCAAGTATGCCTTTCTATGATCAATTTGTGCAAGTTATAGGATCCTCAGAGCTCTATCTAATATTCTTGCCTTCAGTAGTAGTGAATGTACATGTTGATAACCAAAATCTTTAATGACTTTTGCTTGTAGATTGTTTTCTGACACTATTAAATTAAACATATGTGCTAGTAATGAATACACATTGTAACAAGTCAAAGAGTACAGAGGCATATAAAGAAAAACTAATATCCTTTCCCTTCCTTGAAGATGCACACATCTCTACCAAAATTAATGCTCTAGAGGTAATCAATATTAAGAATTTGGTGCACATTCTTTGATACCTTTATCCCTGCTTCTGCAAATATAAACCAGCATATACACATATATATCTTCTATTTCAGTAAAGTTTGGGTCTCCTACATGTTTATACTTACAAATTTTTAATTGTGGTAAAATATACATACCATAAAATTCATGAATCATTTAAGTTAACCATCTTAACCATTTGTAAATAGTCTTGTCACCCTTGTTGAAAATCTTTTGACCACATTCACATACAGAAGAATGAAATTAGACCATTATCTCACATCATATACAAAAACCAACTTACAATGGATTAAAAGACTGAAATGTAAGAAAGACTCAAAATGAAAACTATTAGAAGAAAATAGAGGCAAACTCCACGACTTTTGCCTGGCCAATGATATTGTGAACATGAACTCAAAAGCATCAGCAAAAATAGACAAATGGGATTACATCAAACTAAAAAGCTTCTGCACAGCCAATAAAACACTAAACTGAGAGAAGAGACAAACCACAGATGGGAGAAAATATTTACAAACCACATATCTGATAAGGGGTAATATCCAAAATATAGAAGAAACTCAAACAACTCAATACCTGTAGTAAGAAAACAAATAACATAATTGAAAAATGGGCAAAGAATCTAAATAGACATTTCTCAAAAGGAGATCTACAAATGGCCAAGAGGTATATGAAAAAGTTTTCAAAATCACCAATCATCGAATAATGCAAATTGAAACCACGATGAGATATCATCTCACATATGTTAGATGGTTATTATCAAAAAGACAAAAGATAGCAAGTGTTGGAGAGGAAGTGTAGAAAACAGAACTCTGGCACACTGTTGGTGGAAATGTAAATTAGTACAGTCTTTATGGAAAACAATATAAGGTTCCTGAAAACATTAAAAATAGAACTGTCATATAATCAAGCAATCCCACTTCTGTGTATATACCCGAAGGAAACTAAATCAGTATTTTGAAGAGACATCTGCATTCCCGTGTTCATTGCAGCATTACTCCCAATAGCCAAGATATGGAAGCAACCTAAGTGTCCATGTCCATCATTAAATGAGTGGATAAATAAAATGTGACACACACACACTCACACACTGGAATATTCTTAGTCATAAAAGAAGGAAATCCTGCTGTTTGGGGCAACACAGATGAAACTTGAGAACATTATCTAAGTGAAATAAGTCAGACAAAGAAAAAGACTAATATTGCACTTTCTCACTTACAAGTGGAATACAAAAAAGTTGAATTCATAGAAGTAGAAAGTAGAATGGTGGTTACCAGGGGCTAGGGTGGTGGTGGAGTGTGTTGGGGAGATGTTGGTCAAAGGATTACAAAATTTCAGTTAGATAAGAGGAATAAATTAAAGAGATCTGTTGTACGACATAGTGACTATAGTTCATAACAATATGTTATAGTCTTGAAAATTGCTAAGAGAGTAGATTTTGTGTTTTCACTACAAAAAAATTATGTGAGGTAAAGCATATGTTAATTAGTTTGATTTAGCCATTGTACAAAGTATACATATTTCAAAACAATGTGTTGTACACATAAATACATATAACTTTTGTTAATTCAAATAAATAAATAAATGAACTCATTTAACTATGTATGTATTTGAGGGTTTATTTCCAGGCTCTCTGTTCTTTTCCATTGCTTTATATGTCTGTCTTTATGTCAGTACCACACTGTTATGATTACTGTAGTTTTGCAGTAAATTTTGAAATAGGAAAATGTGAGACCAACTTTGTTCTTTTTTAAGATTGTTTTGGCTATATAGGACCCCTTCTGATTTTGTATGTATTTTAGGATGGATTTTTTTTTTTTTATTTCTGCAAAAACATCATTGGGATTTTTATAGGGTTTGCATTAAATCTGTAGATTCTCTGGGTAGTATTGACATCTTAACAATATTAAATCCTACAATTCATGATGTCAGGATGTCTTTTCATTTATTTGTATCTTCTTTAATTTCTTTCAGTAACATTTTGTAGTTTCTGGTGTACAAGTCTTTCCCTTCCAAGGTTAAGTTTGTTCCTAAGTATTTTATTCTTTATTTTATTATTATTATTATTCTTATTTTTTGAGATGGAGTCTCACTCTATCACCCAGGCTGGAGTGCAGTGGCACAATCTCGGCTCACTGTAACCTCCACCTCCTGGGTTCAAGCAATTCTCTAGCCTCAGCCTCCCCAGTAGCTGGGACCATAGGCATCCACGACTATGCCTGGCTAATTTTTCTATTTTTAGTAGAGACAGGGTTTCACTATATTGGCCGGGCTGGACTTGAACTCCTAACCTCAGGTGATCTGCCCGCCTCAGCTTACCAAAGTGCTAGGATTACAGGCATGAGCCACCATGCCCAGCCATAAGTATTTTATTCTTTTGATGTTTTTGTAAATGGAATTGTTTTTAAAATTTTCTTTGTATATTTTTCATGGTTAGTGTATAGAAATGCAATTGATTTTTGTGCATTGGTTTTGTATCTGCAACTTCACTGAACTTGTTTATTAGTTATAACTGTGTGTAAGTGTGTGTAAAATCTTTAGAATTTTTTACATATAAAGTCATATTATCTGTGAATGGAGAGAATTTACTATTTCCTTTCCAATTTGGATATCTTTTATTTCTTTTTCTTGCCTAGTTGCTCTGGCTAGGACTCCTAGTACTATGATAAATAGAATGGGCAAAAGTGGGCATGTTTGTCTTGTTCCTAATCTTAGAAAAAAAACTGTTGATTATGATGTTGCCTATGGTCTTTTCACATATGGCTTTAATTATGTTGAGGTCATTTGCTTCTATTCCTAGTTTGTTAGGTTTTTTTTTTAAATCGCGAAAGAGTTTGGAATTTTGTCAAATGCTTCTTCTGTATCAATAGAGATGAGCAGGTGCTTTTTCCTCTTCATTCTACTAATGATTCATTTTTGTATGTTGAACCGTCCTTGCCTTCCAGGATAAAATTTCATTTGATTATAGCATTTAATGCTTTTAATGTATTGTTTAATTCTATTTGCTGGGATTTTGAAAGGATTTTTCATGAATATTCATCAGGGATTTAGGTCTGTAGTTTTCTTTTTCTTATAGTATCTTTGTCTGACTTTGGTATTAGAGTAATGCTGGTTTCATAGAATGAGTTTGAAAGTGTTTTCTCCTTTCTAATTTTTAAAAAGAGTTTGAGGAGGATTGGTGTTATTTTTTCTATAATGTTTTGTATATGTCACCAATGAAGCCATCTGGTTCTGAGCTTTTCTTTGTTAGGAGGTTTCTGATTACTGATTCAATCTCCTTGTTATAGGTCTGTTCGGATTTTTTATTTCTTCATGATTCAGTTTTGGTAGGTTGTACATTTCTAGGAATTTCTCCATTTCATCTAGATTGTGCAATTTGTAGATACATTCTATACATATTAGTAACTCTTTTTAATAGTTATATAATATTTCAGAGTATGATCATACCACAAATCACTAAACCATCCCCAATGGTAAAACATCAATCATTTTTATTTTATGCTTTTGAATTTAAAAACAATCATAGAATTTTAAGCTTAACTGGGTCCAACTTTAGATGATTAGGGATGGTCACATGATGTATAGGACCAAATTCTTAACTGAAAATTAAATTAATTAAACTTGTTGGACTTCTCAGACTGGTTCTACCACTGATTGACTGTATGACCTTAAAAAAGTCATATAATTCCTCTGAATATTGGTTTATTCATCTGTAAAATGAGATGATCTCTCAGACATCTTTCAGGGCTCTACCAGATTGTCCATTCCTTAAAAGCATAATCTGCCTATGTCTAATGCATCTGGGTATCCCTTGTAGTGCTTTCCGTACTATTTTGCATATAGATGCTCAGTGAATGCTTGTTAATAAAAGAGGGAATGAATGACTAGCAGTGTACAGTAATGATGAAAAGCCCAATTTGCATTTTACCTAAATCACTTGTCATGTGTTTATTTATTTATTTATTTATTTATTCATTCATTCTAGCAGGAGCTTCTTAGGTGGTGATACCGGTATTTAGGATCAAAGGGCCAAAAGGACAAAACATGTCTCAATTTCTGTTCTGTTGTTCAAGGGTGTTTTCTGGATTGGATTAGGTCTCTAGATAATATGTTGGGGAAATTGGTTCTTTGCTTTGCAAATGTTATCCTTTGTTCATACCTTCTAATTTTCTGATTTTCATTAACCACTGAATAAAGCATTGTAATTTTAACCTAAGTAAAAAAAACAAAAAAAAAAAACAAAAAACCACCTTCGATACTCTCAGTTCTAAGTCCAAGGAACCGTGAATTAATCCTAAGCCTTGTTCTAAAAACCATTCAAATTTATAAAGCATTCTCTGATATTTGTCTTTAAATGTGTATAAATTTGTTGCGTATGTGTATTATATATAAAAGCATATTTATATATGTATATGTTTACTTTGAAGTGAACATTTTAAACCAAAGTATATACGTTGATTCTAAAAATACAGTAAATTCATTGTTATCCTCACTTCTGTTTAGAAACTGGAGGAAAAAATTTAGAGTAAAAATTTCCATCTAATTGAGAGTGTATTTCCTCAGAGAGGCTTTCCCACCCTATTTTTCTCTTGCAATCCTTCGCAAGGTTACATGTGAATGGAAGACTGTGATTTATTAGCATACATTACCATTTTTTGATGATTGCCTGAAAGAGCATTTCTCTAACAGACAGGAAAAATAAGTAATATTTTGGCTCTAGATTCAGAGATTTTTATTTTTTATTTTTTTCAAAATGGGGTCTTGCTCTATCACCCAGGCTGGAGTGCAATGACACGATCTTGGCTCACTGCAACCTCCACCTCCTGGGTTCAAGCAATTCTCCTGCCTCAGCCTCCCGAGTAGCTAGGATTACAGGTGCGTGGCATGACGCCCGGCTAATTTTTTGTACTTTTAGTAGAGATGGGGTTTCACCAGGTTGGCCAAGCTGACCTCGAACTCCTGACCTAGTGATCTGCCCACCTCGGCCTCCCAAAATGCTGGGATTACAGGTGTGAGCCACTGCACCCAGCCAGAGATTTTGATTTCTGTAACTTCCTGGTTGTGAAAGCACTGTGTAAGGTTAAGTTATGGTAACAGAGCCTTTACCATTTCTGAGGCCCTAAATAACTACATTTACTCTATGTTTTTATGGGCATTAACCTCCACTGGGCCTCTGGATAACAAATTTCCTAATGTGGTATTAGAAGAGAAGGGATATCAAAAGCAGATTAAAATTTTTCATATGACATTCTATGAAATATACATCCTGAATACACTCAATGAAAAAAAGAGACATGTTTGTTGCACCAATAGTTACAATTTATTAGACCTTGGTGTATTATTCCTCTTTCATAGGGGGTGCAATTTGCAGGGTGGTGGAATAGAGAAAGTGAGTGTCCTGAGAAGAACAGATGGCTCTTCCATGGTCTCGTCGGCACTGAGACTCAGAGCGTGGGCTTCAATGCTTGTAAAGGGTCAATTTCAAGGTAAATCGGCTTTTTCATTTTTTGGGTCAAACTTGTATTTTGGCGTCCTCAGAGAGAAGAGCAAGGTCTTTCTGGAATTGAAAGGAATCAGATAATTCTGAGGCCTAAATATTTGGTAACCCCCATAACAAAGCCGAAGAAAAGTTCAAGAATTTGTTAGTGGTCCACAAGTGCTTGAAGAAATAATTCATTCATGAATTGAACTGAAAGTGGAAATTTCAAGTTGAAAATCAGCAAACTGGCTTTTAGCAGCTGGGCTCACAGGAGTAGCAGCAGCAGACTGGGCGGCAGCAGGACTGTCCACAGTAGGACGGGCGGCAGCAGGAGGCCTCGGCGTGGTGCAGCTGGCAGCAGGATGGGGGTGTGCAGCTCACCACGCAGCAGGGGGGCAGGTAGGTGCCCTCCACACGGCAGTCTGGGCGGCACCACCTGATACGGGTACTCACGGATCCACTGCTGCCCTCTTGGCCATAGCCGATGCCACCACCAATGCCATAGCTGGTTCCGCAGCAGCTGGGCTGGCAGCAGCTTGGCTGGCAGCAGCTGGTCTCACAGCAGCTTGGCTGGCAGCAGCTGGAGCCACAGGTCCCACTGGTGGAGCAGCTGGGAAATCCGCAGAAGCTGGTCTGACAGCAGGCCATGGTGTCAGGAGTTGGTCTGAAGTTTGGGTTGCTTGGAGGAGTTTCTGAGTTTTGGTGATGGCTGCCACACTGGGCCTTTTATAAGCCTTGGCCAGCTACTGTTTACATAATTCCTGAAGTCTCTTCCTTATTTGTGTTTGATAATTTGTCTCTGAATGATAATTGGCCTCTCCCTGAGTTATTTGTTGAACCTTCTGGGAGCCTTTGAAAGTTGATTGTATTTGGTCTGCAATTAAGCTTCTTTACCATGGTCAAGTAGTCATTGGCATTAATTAGGAATATGATCCCTAACTCCCCATGTTTCTTAAAATTTTCTCATGGTCGAGGAATAATTGACTGATGCTTCACCTTTAAGGATTGTCAATATTATTCAGTGTTGACCCTTACAACTGGGTGATTGGGTCTCACATGACAGTTTAATTCCCTCCAATTTTAACTGCGGCTCCTTCTCTGCCTTCCTTATCTTCCCTTTGACTGTGAAGCAAGACTATATTCAGCTGGCCAGAAAGGGATGCTTTCTTGGGCCAGGGAGATTTGCATTAATTGCTATTCATAACATTTTTCCATCACTGATTATGTGCCTAAATGGTTCTGAGTGCTTTGTATGTATCAACTTGCTGAATTTTGACAGCAATCTGTGGACTAGGTATCACTGCCACTCCCATCAACCATGTGAGAAAACTGAGCCACAACAGATTGAAGTAACTTACCCAAGTTCATACTAGTATCTAGTGAATCTGAAATTTGAATCCACACCCTCTGATTCCAGACTAAACTCTTTAAACACTATAGTCAATTCTTTCTCTCTTTCTCTCTCCCTTCCTTCCTTCCTTCTTCCTTCTTCTTCCTTTTCTTTCTTTCTTTCTTTCTCTTTCTTTCTCTTCCTTCCTTCCTTCCTTCCTTTCTCTCTTTCTTTCTTTCTCTCTCTCTCTCTCTTTCTTTCTTTCTTTCTTTCTTTCTTTCTTTCTTTCTTTCTTTCTTTCTTTCTTTCTTTCCCTTTCTTCTTTTTTTATGTAAGCAGTCATTCGAAGGAAAATCCAAGTGTGAAAGCAAGATGTAAAAATGTGCTTCCTTTCTTATAGACTTTTTTGAGAGTAAAAGGAAGGAAGGGGGAACTTAGGGTAAGTAATAACACTATTTACTAGAGCCATTCCTAGAGATTTTATTTATTTATTAACAGCATAATAAGCACACTTCAAGAAAATCTTAAGTGCTAAAAAAGTTAACCTCCTTGACTTGTGACTTTGTCTCATCTTTTATCTTAGGATATTCTATAGATTTAGATTTTTTGGCTACATAAAATTATACTTTTAACATATTAATACTGGAGTATGTGATTTACTACAGTGTGTTAGATCTGCTGTATGCAGTTTATTATAGATATTAGAGACTAATCTAGTGAACTGGAAAGTTTATATAATTTGAATGAGGCAACTGATGATGGTGAAGATAAATGTTTTGTTTAGATGCAATAAAAGGTGATGAGGCCTCCATGGAGTATGAGCTCATTGCAGAGAAATGCAAGTTACAGTGCTACTCTTGGGTTTTGAACCAGAACACCAAATGGTAGTTCCGCTTCTCTAGAAATGACAGCTTTGAGTTTACTTCATAACTCTTTCTGAGTCAGAATTAAGTCATTTTCAAATTCCACATCAAATTTGGTTTAAAAGATGTGATTCTTTGTGAATTCCTTGCTTCTTCTTAAGCAAAGCTATATCACAGATTCTTTGATTAGCTAATTTTTTTATGTTGGATGTTTGAAATATGTAGATGTGTCATGACAAGAATCTCAGGAGCTATTTAATTCAGATCTAAACTTAGCAGAATCTTTGATACTAAACAGATGTGTCTCCTTTTGCAAAAGGCTCAGATATCTGAGGACTTGAAATACATTATTGATAAGAGCACTGGAGACAGTGGCGTTGCATATCGGTTCTCCCTTTCTGAGCTTTTCTACTGTGGCACCATTTTCAACATCTTCCTCAGTGCAAAATTTAAGGTATAACACTTACTTGAGAATTTGACTCTTGTGCCACAGAATGAAGACTAATCTGAACATTCCCTTACCTCCTCTAAGTAAATTAAGGAAATGAAATTTGTATTATTTCACTTTACATAATATCCTCCAAGTTTAGATATGTTGTAATATGTGACCGAATTTCCTTCTTTTTACAGACTCAATAGTATTCTGTTGTGTGTATATACCACATTTCTTATTCCTGTGCTTATTCCCTCTGGTTTTCATTACTTCATTTAAGTGATGGGTTCCAGACCATTCCAGTACCATAAGAAGAAAGAATATGTTTGTCTATTATTCTTGAACATTGGACTTTGGCTTAACACAGATACTAATGTTTGAAATTATTTTCACTTAAGATATCATGGTTCTGATTTTTAGTTACAAGTTCTGGGGATTCTTCCAATTTCTTCATCTCCATTTTACTAGTTCTCTAATTCAGTTGTGACTGTCTTACTTAGATTCTCAAGAAATAAAGCATGGTTGATGTACCAGTCAAATGAATACAGCATTCCTACGTAGGGCTTCTGTGCTTCTGCTCTGGGCTTCCAGCCTAGTAATCTAGACCGGATAACACATAAACTTCAAGGACCTCGTCTTACCCCCAACTTTTATCTTAAGCCAAGTCACAAGATCTATCTCTTCCCTCCTGAATGCCAACGAGGCTTTTTGGGGTGCTGCTGAGCCAAAGTCCTTTTAATTAAAAGGTACATCTAACCTAAACCCTCTCAGCGACAACAGAGCTCTAAATGAGGGGAATAAAATGTTGACCACATTGCAGGGCCATTGTGTATAGATGTACAGGTCATGCCCTGATGTGGGGCTCTGTGGCTCTGTCTACTCAGAGGAAGGAGCATATTATTTCTTACATCAAGCTGGAGGCTTGACAAGCTGTACATCCCTCTGTCTGTATCTTCCCCAAAGTGATACCTTTTCCTAATTCCTGTAAAGTTGTGCTAGTAGAGGTCCTGTTCTTTTGATTTTTTAAAATTGAGGTGAAATTCACATAACCTACAATTAACCATTTTAAAGTGTGTAACTGAGTGACGTATAGTATGTTCATAATGTTGTGCAACATCGTCTCTCTCTAGTTTCAAAAACTTTTCCATCATCCCAGAGGAACGCCCCCATGACCTTTAAGCAATCACTTCCCATACCCCTCTATCCCCAGTCACTGGCTCACCACTTTGATTTAACGATGAAAGATTTTATCCCTTGGAATGAAAGCCTCACTATGTGTCTTTTATTTAATACTTGCTTCATCTAGAACTCTCTCTGAAAATTAGAATAAGAATGGTGATAGTATACAGCCAACATCACATTCATTTAAATCCATCCTTGCAGTGAACATTTATTTTCTGCTTCACAATACATAAGAAGTATGTACAGATATTATAAAAACATCAGTTTATACTCCCTTTCACCATTTTTCGAAGTATATTTTGAGGAGTATTGGTGTTACAGGGTGTTAACAGGTAATATAAAAATAGAGTTTTCTGGCTAAGTTAGTTTGGGAGTGATGGGATGGTTATAGAGTTTCCTTCCCTTCCTTCCTTCCTTCCTTCCTTCCTTTCCTTTCCTTCCTTCCTTCCTTCCCAT